CTATGGTAACGTTACATATCAATGAAATGAAATCATTGGATTGTAGGTAAAAGTCTTAGCTTTAATTCTATGATTTGCTTTTTTGGTCATACATTTCCATTTTTGGAGGAGATCAAGAATCTACACAGCCAATAAAAAGTTCAGTGACTAAGTGACTTGCACTATATAAAAAAAATTTTATTGTTGTTATTGTTGATCCTGTAGATCATTATCTCATTTCGTTTCATAGATCTGTTGAAATGAGGTTTGACTGTAACAGAAATAAAAATATGGATCCACCTTCAGTAAACTCTGTATACTCTGAATACTGAAAATTTCAAAATCTTTTCAAAAACCATCGTCCTAATTTTAGTTGGTCTGTCAATTTTTATCATAATTTTTTCAACAAATTACAATAATAAGAATTTAATTGTATCTAAAAATGTTCTTAAATGTGCTAATAATTTTCTTAAGGAAATGTCAGAAGTATATAGAAGAGAAGATGGCTGACAGGTGATTGTGGAGAAGTATATTTATGACTTAAATGTGCACACAATGACCCTTATATTCAAGGGAATATCTCTTATGCTAAATACTGGGCACAAGAAAAGGTAAATTTTACATCAAATTTATATATATCCTGTAAGTAAGTTATAAAATATTTATTTAATAAGTTTGATATTTTAATAGAACTCACCTTGCTAACAAAATGAGGAAAAATATTCACAAGTCAGATAAAACTAGGCAAGACTCGTACCAGATTCAACTTTAATTGATTTGAAAACTGGTATAGAAATTGTTGTTGTAGAAAAAGCAAAAACCACTGTGATAGAAGATCTTACTAAGGCTCAAAAGGATGTTGAAAAAAGCAATATTACTACAAGATCAAATAACATCCATATACAAAATGTTGGCCGAAAATGATAGGTCTGATGAAATAAAAAAAATAAAATGTTATGGAATACAAATCTCTGGTAATTGAAAGAAGATTGTATAAATTCTTGATTTTCCAAGGCTGTTATTAATTTGTGATATGAATATTTAAAATTTTAGGTTTAGAAGTAAATGTATTTGTAATAAGGTTTCTGGTCCAAACTGTTTTCTCAAAGCCCAAACTAGTTTGGGCAATTTGGCCCAATTTCGGCCAATAACAAAAAGTAGTTTGAGCTTATAAAAAAATAATTTTTGCCCAAAGTATTTGGGCAATTTCAGCTACTAATAGAAGCAGTTTCGGCCAGAAATCTTAATTGTAATGGATTTGAAATTTCCAGAACTCTATATTTTTCATGAAATTATGTCATTTAAGTTACCTTGTACAATTCTTGGCTTTAACATGTTGAGCAATTCACTTTTATACCTGATTCAATTAAGGGTAAGGATTTTTATTTGTTTAAATAGAAATCACTTTCACTTTAAGTGACTAACTATATAAATATTTATAGTCATTAGTAAATCAAAACCAAATTGTAATGAAAAATCTTCTTAATAATCAAGAAGAGAGGCAAATTACCCCTCCAATATCACTAATTCGTTGGTAGAAATTTCACCAATCACATTGCAGATTAGAGATAATGAGAAGAAAAGAGAGAAGAAAAATAGTAAAAACTTTTTTTAAAAATCAATGATTTTAAAATATAATTATTCATAGTATCTTCATGATGTTGTTGATGTTAGCATTCCTGTATCTTTAAATGAATATTTATATACTAATCTAAAACACATAAATCATCTAAAATAAAAAAATACATGATTAAAAAAATTTATGAATGAAAAAATTTGATTTAAAGTTATTATTCATAATGTAAATTTTATTCAAAATAAAACTCTAATCAAATAGAAGCATGTTTAAATATAATACACAATTAGATACAATAAATTTCTATATTTGCTATCAATAAATTATTCTTCACCAGAGAGAAGAAAAAACTAAATTATTATTATTTAAATTTTTAGAATTAGTAGAGTAGATAGATCCTTGACATCATTTAACATGAATGAAAAGTTTTAAAAGACAATTAAAAACAAGCTTGAGCATACTCTTGTTTAATTTATACTTTTGGATTTATCACTCCAATCAATGTAGAAAATTCAATGTCTGGAATGTCCGGGTGTAACATTACACAACAATCAAATTTTTAATTTTTTGAGATAGTTTCTAAATTTGTACTAGTTACATGACGAAATTTCAACAAATTATTTTGTATGGATTAGTAGTAGTATCTGTCAGATATTTGGATATTCACCAATCATCTTTTCACAAAATTTTGATATCTGAATACTCAGTCATCAAATAATTTTAACATCTGAATACTCAATTGTCAAATAACTTTGATATCTGAATAAACAGGAGAGACCGTCCTATATAAGGAATAGATTTTCACAATTGATTTCAATTTTTTTTATACAGTTTAAAATACTTTTGCAAGGGTATTCTTGCAATAAATCATGTGTAAATAATTACACAAACTTGAAGCTTTACACTTTGTTGTTATCATATCTTTTGAAT